TCTATGGACTCTTGGAGTGTTGCATTTGTTGGTGGGCGGTGAAGCCAGGGGTTCTTTTCACTCCCGTCCCCCCCATGCAACGAGACGGATTTGGCATCCTCGTCCCGCGATCTTGGTCCATAATACTCTATGTACTGTCTAATAACGTGAAGGCACTTCGTTTAATGATTAGACGGATCTCATAGAATCAGTGCCGAAGAGACCGACTGATGAGACCATTCCCAGTGCGAATCTAACCAGAAACCAACGCGCCCGCCCACCGGCACCCACCCGTGTGCTACCACGGCGCCACCCACCTCCCAACCCATTGGATCCCAAGACTAAGGCCGCCAGGGTGGTTTAGTCCCGAGATCCGTCACCTGCGTGCATCTACGGCGCAGCAATGGACAGCTGCCGCCGTTATTACGGCGAATTCTTGCAGCCCATTTACCGGCCGTCGAGTTGCCCCATCCCGCTCCGTCGGCCAAACCGATGCTTTTTGCCCTCCCGCCCCGGGTCAAGGCAGTCAACGGGTTCGTTTGGCGGACATGACGCCGTGCGCCCGCCATTGATGATGGAGTCCTCTCGGAGTCCAGTGAGGCTTCCGTTGAAAGCGGCTGCCCTTTGTACGGAACACTAGAAAAGTACTCGTCCGTCAGCGACTCATCGTCAATTCCACCACTGCCAACGTAACCCCACGCGACCTTGCATTCCCTCTCGTACGTTCGTTCTCGCTTGCCTGTTTGCGGGGAACAGAGACACCATGACGCAGGGAGACGCCTTCTTGGCGCGTCAGTGTACGGACTTGGAGCACGAGAGTTTAGGACTGCAGCGGCGCAGATCAGGAAAGGATCCGGTGCGCTGACACGTACACGAAGCTAGTTCCATGCAGGCCAGGAAGTGGGATGTAAGCACGAATTCACCGCCGGCCTTTGGACCCAAGCTCCCAACTCCTGCGGGACTAGGATGGAGTTTTGGATGTCGGTTTTCCTGGAGAATTGGTTGAATCACGATAGAGCCAATCGAGGTTTTTGTATTTCAAGTGCTGGTGACAATATGTCTCAAATTGTGATTTACGCCATATGAGCTGAGGCTTTCGGGCTCTTTCGAGGGATTATGCATGATCCAGAGAGTGGTTCGATAATAGGGCAAACTCTGCATGAATTAACCTCCTCGATCGACATTTAGCCACAACCCAAACTATGGATGTCTCCGCGAGAGTTCACAATCGCAGGGCTACAGCTGCCTTTCGCAGGGAATTGTCTTCCCGCTCTAAATGCAACTAAGGCTTTCTCGAAGTCTAAAGCTATTGGATTGAGTGCGAAGCTGAGAAAATCTGCTTCATCGCCACCAGAGGTCGGTGTATCTGCCGAGAGCGAGCTCACCAGGCTCGAAAAGACCATGCACGGAATCCCAGCCGGATTTGAGCTGGGCTACGGGCAGCCATTTCAATCTAAGCCGTTCCACTTCGGCCGACTTGGCTTCGTCGGCCGGCAGCAAGCCACATCTAGACAAGGCCTGCTCGGGAGGCACCGTTCTTCGGCCGTTCTTGAAAACGTATCTAGCAATTGACGATGCAAAGACAGCCTTTTGAGGATCTTTAGCCTCAATTCCTCCGTATTTGTTCTTCTTTTCCCTCGGGCCTGGTTGCATCGCGTACTCCCCCGGCACGAATACATCTGCTTCGACAAAGTGTGACACGAGATATATCCACTTCTCGTCCCACGACAACACCCGCGTCCACAGCTCGTACTTTTCGTAAGGCGCAATCTCCTTACGCCAGACGCACTGTGCGCCGCCGAGGATCATGATGAAGTGTTTAGGTCCCGGGAACGGGTTGAAAGGTTCCCGGAAGAGCACCAGACTGATGTTGCCGCGAGACATGTCGAGGTCTGTGAAGTAAGTCGAGTTGGACTTATGCATGTTGTAATCACATTCCAACAGCGGCGATCGCGTCGCGGAAATGGCTGGGAGGAAGAGGCATCGTGAGCTTAGGTGCTTCGGCAGCGCGGAGTCTGTTAGACGTCGGATAAAGGCGCGTAGGAATCGGATCTGCGAGATGTGATTTAGCTACGAGAACTCTTCGTGGAAGCTTGGTCAGAGGTGTCCGTTGTTCCCACTTACGGTCCAGACAAAGTGCCAGTTCTTGATGTTGGCGAGGGCCAATCCTATCAAGAATGATCTAACGCTTAGAAGCGACAAGGCCATCTGTCCGCAAGAGACCAAATCGTTCCAAAGACCCGCCATAGTGTACAACTCGTAGCGACTATGGATATAGGCACTTCGACAGATTTTGCTTGAATAGACCCCGTTGCTTCAGTGGGTTTGGAATGTTGCCGATCTCGATTTCCAGCGAGGTTGTTCGTTCGCCCCTTTCGGCGTTGGACTCGATTAAATAACTTTGAAGTGAAGCCCCATCTTGGGCATTTCCATCTCTTCGTTATTCTCAAATATGAAAAACGACCCACGTTTGTTGGGATATCCTCTAGCTAGTTGTTGAGAGCTTCATCCATCGACAACTAAACTGAGTGCTCGGCGAGACCAAGTACATGCACCCCGCCTGGGAGCCTCAAGGAACGGCAACGGGTCATTGCCCAAAGTAGATGCCAAAGCCGCGTTGAAAATTGATGATTCTTGGTTTATACAGAAAGTTCTTCTGACGGAAAGATGGCCCCTTCGAGTCAAGAGACAAACGGCCCTCGGCTGGATGTGGGCCCTTGAGCTCAGGGTTGACTTGCATCAGACGGAGAAGCCCGTTCTGTGAGTTCAACATGGCTCAGCTAGACTCTTAGTAGAGTAACATTTATCGTTCGGCGGTGATTGCATCAAATTGAGGGCGTATCGCGAATGAGTATAGTTTAGAACGATTCACGAGCCTGCGGAGTTACCCAGATGAAACACAGTTGATGATTGTTAAATCTTCCTTGGGGGATGACAACACTCTCATTGCCCGCATGTACCGAGGCTTTGTCGGGCTACGGCCTGAGTTTGAATAGATCAGGCTGGCTACACAAACCTTCCGTATTTGTTATATCAACCGCCATATTTCTGCGGTGCTGGAGTATCCAGACACAAAGTCATTGTTGATAACTATCAGAAACAGACCCTACATATAGCAACGTCAAATTGTGAGCCATTTGAATCAGAAGCAGTAACGACGGGTCATCTCACAATGTCTCATGCAACAGTTCCTCAGGTCCCGGACTCGTACTCGTCACTGAACTACAAAGACATCGTCGTCAGCCACGTACCCCACGATGCTCCGGCCGTTACCAAGGTCATAGTCGTGACTCTGAACCGCCCGGAGAGACACAATGCCGTCAACGGAAACATCCTAGAAGAGTTGGTCTCCGTGTTCAACATCATAGACGGGGACGACCGCGTCAGAGTTGTCGTCCTGACCGGCGCCGGCAAATCCTTCTGTGCAGGAATGGACCTTTCAGAGGGCCCAGGGGGGCTAATGAAGATCAAACAGAATCCAGATGCGATGAATCAGTGGAAAGATCCGTGAGTCGCGCCCCGTACCCTCGGCCCAAGATGCCAATTAACAATATCACCGCAGTGGTGGACGTGTAGCTCTGGCCATCTCAGAATGTTCGAAGCCAACCATCGTCGCCGTAAATGGAGGCGCTGCAGGGTTCGGAGCTACGTCAATCTTATCAGCCGCGATCCGAGTTGCCTGGCAGGATGCCAAAATCAACATGCCTTTTGCACGACGCGGATTGACGATGGAGTCCGTCAGCGCCTTTTACCTCCCCAAACTCATCGGCCTCTCAAAGGCAAACCACATTGTCACAACAGGAAGCACTTACACGGCCTCCGACCCCCTCGTTAGCGGACTATTTTCTAAGCTGCTTCCTACTCCCGACGAAACTGTGAGGTATGCCATCGAGCTTGCTACCGATGTTGCTGAGAATACTTCCATCATGAGTACCAAGCTGATGAGGGACATGATGCTGTATTGTCCTGATACCCCGGAGGAGACCCATGACTTGGACTCCAAGGTGTTTATCACGTCCTTTGGGTCCAAGGACAACGTGGAAGGTCTGACAAGCTTCATGGAAAAAAGACAGGCAGAGTTTTCTGGGGAATTTGATAGGAGTGATTTCTCATTCTATCCTTGGTGGAAACCGGAGATACTTAGGTCGAAGATCTGAAGGCATGTCACGCGCTGGCTTAGTTTCAACTTTCTACGAACGCAAAATTGAAGATTGTAACTTCCATTTCGTTCGTATCACAATGAAACTCATTTGTAATATCGTCTAAATCACTACTCTGATTTCACATTTTGCCTTGCCATGGAAGAGTCTTGAATACATGTGATGATTTTATGAATTTGGTAGCCATGACAAGCAACGGCCCACCACCCAATGAGCGCTTAACCATTAATCCTGCTCTCATAGTCAAGTTCTTTACTTAATTAAGGGCCGATTTACTCCGTAATTATTGTACTAGCGCTTCATTCTCTACTCGCTCATTTCGGCATGTTTCCGAACGTCGAGCTCATATTATAACACAGGATTCGTTATCTCTCATATCCGTACGGATACTTGAGATTGTTGAGAGCCGTCTTGACTCTTGCATGTGCTTCTACCAAAGCGGCCCAAGTGCCGAGGGACCTCGGCTCGGCAAGATGTGGGGCACATTTCATCGCGACTCGCCGCTTGGGGGGCGGACGCGTTGCCCGGGGACTCGGATTTCCTACGGACACCTCAACATTTCTAGTCCCACAGCCCGGGAGCTTATCGGTCCTTCGATAAGAGTAGTCAGTCCATTGAATCTGGCCGAAAGCCGGTCGTGCGTTTCGAGTGCCTTGGGTGACGTTGGCCGGCGGGATGAGAGGGCCAGACAAGGGCATTCGAAGCTGCTTGAAACTAGGTTTCGGTCTGTTCGAGAAGTTCTTGGCCCGAGAGGCTGAGCTGATGCTGTACGTGTCATTCATTGTGCGTATGGTGCAACTTCGGCTCGTGTTCACGGTTGACATTGTAAAAATTTCGCCTGTAATGAGATAATGAACTGAATCATGGCAGACTGAAATCGTCGAGCGTCCATAGCCTGTCCATAGTCTGTATATCCAGCCAAGAATCGGTACTGCCAAAGAATCAGAACATGTACAGTTTTCAACCCGAGATAAAAAGACTCACTGGGTCCCCGATATAGAGGCATTATCAGCGTATGCATTCGGTAGTGGACTCCACATGTCCGATATGATGCCCGCGGTGCCCAGTCCATAACCATCAGGCCAGCTCGCGAACGCGCTCGTATCCGGCGTCAAGGCAGCAGCAGCCGGAGATGGCTGATGCTGCTCGTGAGGCGGCGCGTTATCTACCTTGTTGATGGCCGTTTCGAAGAGCTTATATGATGCATCGGCCGAGATGTAGGACTTGCGCATCTCGTCCATGGCGACCATACAGAGGGCGAGGTTATGTCTTCCCATCTGGCGCGCCATTTGTTTTGACGAAGTTGATTCGAAGAGGTGGATTTGCATTGGCGGGACGAGGGCAATGACTCTGGAAAGCTGATTAGTGAACCTGGGACCAGGATATCATTGCAGAGGTCGGGGTTCGTACGTGATGGTGTGGCAGAGTCGGATCAGGTCTTCTGCCATCATGGAGTTCATCGCTGCGCTTGCGTTGGACGCAGCAGTCCTCGTCTTTTGGCATGCAAAAGTCCTCCAACTTCCTTGGTCTGCTGCCGGGATCTCTCTCGGGGTATCGAGTATGAAAGGCCGATAGAGTACGATTATGGATGTTCTGACTTGTGTTAGATGCTCGCCCTCGTTCAATCTCGCGGACTGATTCGGTGGGCACTTACTCAAAGTATAGCTTGAACTGGTAGATATGAGATGCGACAACTCGACTGTGACTTCCTGCTTCAGGCACCCGATACTGAAAACCACGAATCTGATTTTCGCTTTGCTCAATCTCCAACCTTGACGGCTTCATCCCTTTGGCCCTATAATTCGTCGCGAGAACATTACTAAGGGTGACACTCAAGCCAATGAAAGCCAGCCAGGTATCGAACAGAAACTGCATCTCTTTAGGAAGATACTTCTGACCAAGTTGGCCTTTGACCTCGGGCGTCAGGACGTCAGCGTCGCTCGCAGCCGGCATAGACGTGTCAAAGTCATCAAGGGCTATCCGCATAGGTCTGCCGAGTCCCAGAGAAAGCCATACCTCTCGCGAGTAGAGAGACCACCAGAGACGTCTCCAGAACGGCTTCGTACCTTGAGACGCTTGTTGGTTCGCGGGCATGTGCAGGCGGTGAAGACCGATCGTGTGAGAGAGGCTGATGGCGATGCCGTTCCAGTGCCAGGGCCCGGCTCTGTCGTCTGTGCTGGTGTACCAGTGGCCCATCAGGAAGACGGACTGGATGAGTGTCACCTTGTCTTTTTCGTAATCTGCATCGTACATAGCCTGCAATATGATTAGCTCCTGTTTGAGGTGACGGAACACCGGAAGGGGAGCCGACTTTCGCTCTCTGGTACATGGCTCGTTTCAGAGCCTTTCGCGAGGGAAAGAAATCTTCCGTCAGGAGACTTTCGTCAACAAACTGTGGTAAATGTCAGCTATGCCTAGCAATGAATGATAGCTCATTTGTGTCGTTGACCTACACTCGCGGCCGCGATGAACATGCTCCAGAGCAGCAACAGGCTTTTTCTTCCCTTTTCATACTCGGTGATAAACTCGCTCGCATCCAGGATCGGTGCAAATGGGTGCACATAGTGAAAGTAGCACCGGATCATCGCCTCGCGGACATGGGGCGGAGGTAGCGTGAAGGCGCCCTTCATCCTGAGATAATTGACATCTTCTGGCGAGAGGGCCTTGATGGATGGCATCGGCACTAGGAAATGGTTGTCTTTGGATGACCTATTGGGTTCACAGATATCGATCAAGAAGGCCGGGCCACGTTGATCTCCTAGATGAATGAATGTCAAGAGAAACCATCTCGAAGCTATGCTTGATGCATCAAGGTACCAAGACAGAGGACAGCTTACCTGGGTAGAACGGGACGCAGCCATCCTCGCGATTCTTACCACCTTCCAGCGTCTCTGCATACGCGGAGCTGTCCTCAGTGGCATCGGATGGATCCGGTGGCCGGTGACCTTTGGCTGGAAGCAAAGCACGCACGGCATCGTAAGGCCGAGTGGTTGGAGCGGATGGCCCACCGCCAACCGATCGTGTCTCGGCTGCGCGTGGGGACGTCGACGACCTCGGGCCACCGTTGACTTGGGGTGTGGTGCGCCGGTGATCTTCGGGCGGCGCGGATGTGACCCGGTCGTCCCTCGACTCGACGGCCTCCTCATTCTCTAGGGTACCCGACAATGGCCCCGGGGTCTGGGGTTCCACGAGCCGTCTTCTGGGTTGTGCTCTTTGGGGGATGAGGATTAACGTGTTCTCCCCACCTCCTCCGGGGGATGGGTTCATGGGGAGTTGATCCGAGTTGCTGTTTCGTTAGGACAACTCACCAACATGGCCCCGTACGGCAGCAAATTATATAGACCGGTGACCAGAAGACTCACCGACGTCGTTTACGACTAAGGACCTCGCATGTAATCCCGTCCACAGAGCAGTTGGCGCAGGGAGGGCCAGATAAGGTGACTGTGCACCTCACCTTGCGCAGGTTGCAAGCCTTGCACGCTACAGCGGCACGCTTGAAGGTTCGGACTGCCGCTGCAGAGGGAGGGGAGGAACCCGTAGTGGTGGCCATGACAGAAGAGTCATTGTGCTGTAGAGACATGTTGTGTACCTTGCTTGCAGCCTTCGCTGGAGTTAAAGGTGTAGAGTGAGAAACGTTATCGTTATCATCAGGTGAGAATCCCCTTTGCCCTTTGGCCTTCATGCATGCTAATTCATCAAGGTTAGGTTTTCCCCATTCTCAATGGAACCAGTTACTTGTCTAAGGCAAGCTTATGTGGGGGACGAATGCTCTTGATGGGGGGGAGGTCAACAGCAGCTCAACATCTGTAAGTGAACGAACGTGCTAGTCAGTCGACCGAGGATGTGGATTAGGTAATATTGCAGGTGGCATGTGAGAAGAATCGGGGTCAACGGAGCTGTCCACTTGTTGTTTGTTTAGTTACACACACAGTGTTCATGCGCTCCCTCATTGTTGATTTTGTTCTGCAGAATGCGGGGGTTTAAGATTGTCCGAGGACAACTTTGAACTGCCGGTTGCGACCTTGGCAAAGACTTTTACGGGAACGGTTAGGGCGTTTGTTCATCCTGGTCGCGTCCTTGAACCTAGTGCAATCGCGTTTCGTACTCACTTTAGAGAAGCTAAATTGTGTTGTAGAGTTAGCAAGAGAGCATAAGCCGCATGACAGTGTCATTTTCTTTAGCAGGCTAGTGATGAATGGTCCAAAACGTCATATCATTATTCAATTATCCTCTATACCCGTAAGCCATGTCCATAACCATATCCGTAACCCATTAGTCGTAATATCGTGTTCCCATCGTGTGTGTATCCTACGCCCAATGCACCGACTTTCTCTGCTTCTTCTTCATGCCCAACTCCTCCGGCACGCGCAAACGAGCGTCCGCAATCACCATACCAAACGTCAAGCTCGACGCGCGACTATGCGTACAGACAGTAGCAGTCCCGTCAAGCTCCCACTCCCACCGCGTCTTCTCAACCATGTCCCCGGCCTTCCGGAGCTTCTGCCTCCACCCCTCTACAAACAACCACGCCAGACGAAACACGCTCTCGCCAGAGGGCTCCACGGGGATGCCGCCACTTTCCTTCTCTTCGGGGTTCCAAGGGACCGGGACCCGCAAGCCGCTCGGGTCTCTGCGGTACTTGCGTCGCTTCGGACGATGCCGGTCGCCCGGCTCCTCCGTGTTCACGTCCTCTTCCCACTCATTGTACTCGGCGTCCCGCTTCACCCTCACGACTCTGAGCCCCGCTCCGCCCGAGCGTGGTCAATTTGCCTCCAACCCGCCAGCAGAGCTTCGTAGGAGTGCGCTCTGCTCGTCAACCTCGTCTTCGGCTTCGTTGAGAAACCCTGCTTTGCGATCGTATCCACGGTCCTCGACGTCATCGCCCCCGGGCTTGCTGCGCCGGACGGGGTGAAAAACACCCGACACCGGCCGTGATCGGACTGGACTGGCTGGCTCTTGCTTCGTTTGGTTGTTCTCAAAGATGCCGCGCATTCTGCTGATCAGACTTCCAGGTGAGTTGTTGTTCGTAGCCGCCGCGTTCCGCGGAGGGCTGTCTGAACTGGAGCCTACGGAGCCGGATGGTGCACGAGCTGCCTTCGCCGCCTCTTCACTATCTCTGAACGGATCATATTCCTCGCGGTCGGTGAGAGAAGAGTCGTTGCGCGGCCTCGTCAAGTGATGAACAGAAGCCGGCCACGAGTCCCGAATGACCGGCTCGTGCTTGTCAGCGTGCAACGCCGAATGAATCGGTGACGACGCAACGGAGTCGAGGGTACTCTGGCTTCGCATCGAGTGAGGAACCGAGTCGTTGCGAGCGTGCCAGGGGACGTTGGTCACATCGCGCGGGACCATGAGCTCGGGATCAAAATCTGCTTCGGCTTGCATAGTGGGCGGTGTCTGTGGCCGGTCAGGATTATGCCTGCTGAACGCAAGTCCACGAGAGGGTGTAGACTGCGACGACGCCGAGGGTGTCGCCGGTGACTCCTCCTGACGCAACGCTAAGGGGCTGATGTCCGGTGCTTGCTCACTTTGCTGTGGTGCCAACTGCGGAGTTGTCTGCTCATGTTCCTCTTCCGCCTGTACCTCGGAGACTTGCACCTCGGGCTGCCACGAAGTTGTTTGTCCGTACTGTGGCTGAAGTTGTGCTTGTCCATAGGATTGGGCCTCGAATTGGTCTTGACCAAACTGACCTTGACCGTATTGCTGCTGGGCAAGGGCGTCTTGCGCGTGATACTCGGCTGACTGTTGTCCATAAACGTCCTGGCCATGCATTTGAGCTTGCTGTCCGCCATATGAACCTTCAATCTGGGTATTAGGCTCGTAAGCGGACCGCAGAGGAGAAGAGTGACCAGCAGAAGCTTCTCGGTGAAGTGATTTCTGCACCTCCTCCCTCAACAGAGACCCAGAGCGGCTGTGCCTTGTAGCACCGAACATGGTGGGCGAGCGAAGCTCATCCCGCCAAGTTGAAGCTCCAAAACGGGAAGAGGCATATTGTGTGGGGTGCTCAGCCGGCTGCATGACCGCAGTCTTTGGGCCATCATCTTCATCGCTGCCGAACGAGTCGATGACTTGCGTTAAGACAGGCTCGTCTGATGACTGCTGCTGCTGCTGCTGCAGTTGCTGCGCAGTGCCGATCTGGGTGAGGAATGCTGGGGCTTCCGAGTGATCATACTCGCTATCATCGTCGGAGTCGTCATCCTGAGCAAGCTCGTCGGCGAGTGAAGTCTCATGAGCTTGAGCATACGGAGACATTGCTCCTCCTCGGTTGTAAGTCTGGTCGTAGATGTCCTTGTTGCCGATTGAATCCGGGTGACGGGGCGAGCCCATGGCCCCTTGCGTATACTGTGAAGACGCGCTGAACCCGGCCGATGCCAACGGAGTGGCGTACTCTTGTGAGTCAGAATCCGTAAAGTCACCTGGTCCTGCTGGCTGGAGGTATGTCGATGCCGTGGAAATCTGGTCGTTGCTCGCGTTCGGCCACTGCTGCTCGTAGCTATCGACGCGCAGCTGTGGTGTCGGCATGGCGGTGCTGAACCTCTCGTCGACTGGGCTGATCTCATCACCGCCGCGCTTCCCAATGTTCTCCCATGAATCATCGCTTTCTTCCCCTCCTTCTTCTCTTTGATGACTTTGTAGGCCCTGACTGCTTGTTGCCGGCACCGAGTCCCTGAAAGCTGACTCCATCGGGTTGCTCCGCGTCATCGGGCTGGCTGACCTCAACGGACTTGTCGAGGCCAAGGGACTGGAAGCCCTCATCGGGTTGGTCGCCGCCAACGGGCTCGTCGCTTGCAGTGGGCTGACGGCTCTCATCGGACTCGCGCCCAGCGGGCTTGCTGATCTCGTCGGGTCGACTCCCATCTGGTTGGTCCCCATCAGGTTGCTTGCTCCCATCATGCTCGTTGTCTGGCCATATCGATTAGCTTCCCATGCCTCCTCATTCTCCTCGCTGTCGGAATCTTCGAGTTCATGACGGTAACGACCCAGTGCGCTGGATGTGCGCGGAGGCGGAGGCGGCGGCGGGGTCGCCCTGAACTGCGACGTCGATAGATTTGGCATCTGACCGGGCCGAGCGGCATTCGAATCCCAAGCATCCTCGTTCTGTTTGTCACTGGAATCCTCAATCTCCTGGCGGTATTGACCCTGAGAGCTTGATACCCGCGGAGGCGGGGGCGGGGGCGGTGTAGCCCTAAACTGAGATGATGATGAAATGGGGAACTGACCAGGTCGAGCAATGTCGTGGCTAAAGGGGTGTTCGTCCTCACTTGAGTCCGCTTGCTCTTGATGATAGAAGCCTTGAGAGCTGGGGACACGCGGCGGTGGTGGTGGCGGCGGAGTCGCCCGATAACCAGATGGTGAGAGCGCACTGGGCAGAAGATTGGACTGGACAGCGGCAGGGGACAAGACACCTTGATCTTCCTCGTCTGAGTCTTCAATGTTGTAGCGGCTCTGTGACAGGGAACTGGGGGCACGGGGTGGTGGAATCGGAGGTGGACGCGGGGGAGTAGATCCGAACTGCGAGGTTGGGAATGTGCTGGGCTGCATGGGCTCGAAGGCGTCATCCCAGTCGGCTTGCTCATCTTCCGATGAGTCTTCTAGTTGTTGCTGGCCGTAGTGACCCTGTGAACTTGGCGCGCGCGGTGGTGGAGGTGGTGGCGGGGTTGCCCTGTATTGCGATGATGAGAGGGGATTCAGCCGTGCTGGAGATTGCGCGTGGAAGATGTCGCCATCGTCCTCAGATGAGTCTTCAACTTCTTGCGCATAGTGGCCCTGTGAGCTAGAGACACGCGGAGGGGGAGGGGGGCTTGATCTGTACGGGGAAGATGTCAACAAAGTATTGATCTGGCTGGGCTGAGGAGCACGAGCATCCCAGTCCTCCTCTTCTTCAGAAGAGTTGTCGAGCGCTTGACGGGAACGCTCTGCGATGCTTGGCAGAGGAGGAGGAGCTCGCTGTTGCGAAGCTGGCAACTGCTGGGAGGTGGTCAGACTTTCTGGCTCCTCAGAGTCGGAATCCATATCCTCTAGTTCACTGTTGTATCGCTCTTGGATGCTATCCAGAGTGGCTGGAGCAAGGTGCTTGGCCGACAAAGGGCTGTTCTCTTGAACAAACTGCTGGGAAGGATCCATCATCCCTTGACCCACGACGTCGTGCCCTCCAACGGCGGAAGGATAGCCTTGGTCGAACATGGACTCATCAACGTCAACACCGACAGTGCTACTCCTGGCGCCGAATGGGTTGTAAGAGGCATCAGGCTGAGCTTGTCCCAAAGTGCTCGCGGTGGGCAGGAAGCTCTGGTCAGACGCAGTGCTTCGGGCGAAGGGATTGTTGTACATTGACTCGGGGACCTGCGGCGTGGGCTGCCGGCGCTCGATTGACTGGGCTGCGGAGGCGAAGCCGTCATTGGCAACTTCGGGTGATTGATTGACAGGGAAAAGGTTCTTGTACGTGGACTCTGCCGCCATCATGGCCTCCTCATCCTCGGAGTCGCTCTCTTCTGCCAGTGGGTAGCTCTGCTGCGGTGTCGTGCTCCGAGCGAACGGGTTGCTTGGTGCGCGTTGTCGCCCGGGAGTGCTCAGGGCTGG